CGCTGTTGTCAACCAACTTCCAACAGAAGAAGGCACAAAACTCAGGCTTGAAGAACTGGAGAGCCTCGATGGAAAGCGATTGGAAACACAACAACATTTGGAGCTCTACCAGGCAAAGATGGTACAATCCCATGACAAAGTGGTCCGCTCAAGGACATTCAAAATTGGTGACCTTGTACTCGTGCTCAAAAGACCTATTCTTGCTCGCCGCAAAATAGGTGAAAAATTTGAGCCAACTTGGGAGGGACCATTTGTCGTTTAGAAGGCTTATACAGGAGGAGCCTACCAGTTAGTGGACTTCCGGGGTGAAAGACCCATGTTACCAATAAATGGACGATACTTGAAGACCTATTACATGACATGATGTTGCTTACTGCCTCTTACCTCTGCTTGCCTTTGCTTGCTTTGAAATTTTGAAACCTTGATTGTTTTAGGGTTATCTATATGGTCGTATGTCTATGACCGGGTCCAAATTTTGTAACTAATCTCATATTTATTGAAAATTTTCAGAAAATTTTTGAACTTCACATATTCTCCTTTCTACTTTTGGATTTAAATATTCAATTAAATTAAAACAAACTCACACATAAAATGAGTAATCTTTTTCACCAAAACAAACTGAAATTTACATTAATGAGTACTCTGTTTCGTTCTTGTTCATGCCAAACTTCAGCCCACTGACGTTTCTTTCTGTTGTCTGCAGAAAAATGTCAGGACAGAGGTTGATCTTTGCCTTCCAGGACGGCCGGAACCTTGCACTGAATGAAGAGATGGCGCCACAAGGAGGTGTCATAGATTTTGACATGGATTTCAACCAGATTGATATGGACTACGACGACCCTCTAATGGACTTAGTCAGCAATGAAGAAAATAAGGGACTACCCTCACAGTTGTGGGTGACCACTCAAGACGACGTGTCACATAAGGGTAAAAATGTGATTGCAGAACAAGATCCGATGGAGGGGCCCAGCCGACTGCCCTCCATGATAGCTAATGATAGCTACTCCGGCGAGGGGCTTAATAGCTGCCCATAGTGAACAACTTCCAAATACTCCACTCCGCAGAACACTACGCAGAAACGTAAGCCGGAAGGAACAGAGAGCCTTTCTGCGACAGAAGCGCAAGCGCCACAAGAGCCAAAGAGACGCAAGCGGTTTTCTTACCCCCATTCCTGAGGGACATATCTACGATCCAGAGCTAAGAAAGACTTCTGCCAGCCTGCCTACTACAAATGAAGAATCATGATTTCTGACAGGATCAGATGTACCCCCGGTCCCAGATATCTTGTGCAGAGGTTGCCCAACATGCAACGTCGAGATACCAGCCAGGACATCAGTCACGGGCGCATTTGTAGAATGTCCGGACTGCAATGTCCTACATCTACAGCATTTAAGTACCTTAGAAGAATATACTGCAAGCACCAATGAGTCTCAGACTCCAGGTTTTGTGGCAAATGAACCGTATGTCCCACTGGGGACGGATCAGCGCGCACCGCGGAGCCCAGGATCGTACATCTTGCTTGAGGCGGAATCTCATATTCCGGATCAATTCCGGATCGGCCAGCACAGGTTTGGATTCCTGCCGAGGCCCGGAGGAAGGAACGTCCTAGGCAGCTGCTAGCTCCCGGTATGGTGGAATATTACAAAATAAGCAAGGTAAACAAAAGAGAATTCGAATTCTACGAAGAGGTTCAAGGAAAGTTTATCAACATATTGGAGGGCCTGGAATTATATACCAGGGTTTTCTTTGAAATTGATGAAAGAAGCATCCTGGATTGCATCTTCGATTTAAGAGATAGAGGTCGAGCAGGCCTTCTCATGGAAAGAACGTACTTCGAACCGAAGAAGTGGATGCGAGGAAAGGGAAGCATCACCATACAGTGCGGATGTTGCTACAATTTTACAAATGACAGACAGGGGAATCTGCCTGGGATCCTCAAATACGACCAGGTGGATCCGTTACCACCAATGATAAAGTGGATGATAAAGAGAATGGTCAAGTGGAATATCTTACCCGCCACTTGCATTCCTAACAGTTGCATCATCAACATTTACGAAGAAGGTGACTGCATTCCTCCGCACATTGACCATCATGACTTTGTGAGGCCTTTCTGCACGGTCTCATTCATGAGTAAGAGCAATATTTTGTTTGGAAAAGAAATCGACGTAATCGGCCCTGGTGAATTCAGAGGAGCTATGGAAATTTCTCTCCCAGTTGGTTCAGTGCTTGTTCTCAAGGGCAACGGTGCAGACGTGGCCAAACACTGCATACCAGGAGTACGACACCGTAGGGTGTCCGTGACCTTCCGCAGGATGGATGACAGCAAGATACCATATGGATTCCA